TAACTAGATAAGTTCCTGCATCATAAACATTTCTTTGGGAAGTTGTGAATATTGATACGTAGCTTTGCAAAAGAGTAGGGGGCATGTTGTATTTCTGTTATCAGTGTCTGTCATTACACAATGTATGCATATGTGAATATATAGGCAATAACTTCACCATCAACATTGTATATTATGTTTAGAAAGAGACTTGCTAATTTGACAGACAGAGCTTCCCTAAAATTGGAATATTATGAAGTTACAGCCTTTCCCATGTTCTGTAATCCAGGTGTATTGCCTCTATAATGAATTATCTATTCATGTCCCTTTTCATTTATCTTTTGAAGTTTTAATGATTGAAATATCCAATTTTATGCACTTTTTAATAGAACAAAGACAAAAGTCATTTGTCTGTTTTATTTATTATATTATTTTTTGTTTGTAACTTGCCTTTTTACTTTGCCCAGTTTTAAAGATTGAAACTAACATGAGTGAAAAAGAATTGAAGGTGCGAAGCACTTTGCTTCTTCAAATGAGAGAAACTATTCATTCTTTGATCAAGTATTTTGTAAGGTAATGAAAAATTTGAAAATAAGTGAAATCAATGTGTCAGAGAGATACCTACACATCCCTGTTCATTGCAGCAGTCTTCACAATAACAAAGAGAGAGAGTCAACCTAAGTGTTCATCAGTGGCTGAATGGATACAGAAAATGTGGCACATATACACCGTGGAATACTGTATATATGAATATATAAAAATGGAGGAAATATGGATGAACCTGGAAGACATGATGTTAAGTGAAATAAGCCAACAAGCCAGGCAGAGAAAGACAAATACCTCATGATCTTACTCATATGTGGAATCTAAAAAAGTTGATTTCACAGAAGTAGAGAACAGAATGGGGATCACCAGAGGGTGGGATAATTGGGAAGAGGTTGGGATGTTGCAGTTCAAAGACTGCAGAATTATGGTTAGAGAGGAGCAAATTCAAGAGATCTATTGTACAGTATGGTAACTCGAGCTAATCATGATTTATTATGTTCTCAAAAAATGCTAAGATAGTGTATTTTAGGTGCTCTCACCACAAAAATGACAACCGTGTGAGGTAATGGATACGTTTGTAAGGTAGAGTCAACTATTCTACTATGTATATATGTACTTCAGAACATCATATGGTATACAATAAATATATACAATTTTATTGTCAATTAAAAATTAATTAACAAAATATTTGTAGATGTAATTAAGGAACTTACTTCTAGTCTTTAAGGAGGAACATATTTTTAAAACTACATAAGAACAAAAGCTCACTAAGACAATAATTTGGTGGCATTGTGGCAAAATTCTAGTTGACTTGTTTGTAAGAACTCTTCACTAGAGTAGACAGTGATGAGTTAGGGTCAGAATGCATCTTTAGACAATAATTTATGTTAAAGTATCTATTTTTACATGGGTTATTAGACTGAAAAATGGAGGAAATTTTTTGAACATAGACTATTTTATTTCTGCAAGGTATTCATTGGAAACTTTTATAATATTCTTGCAGGCAAGATGATGGAGAAGTATGGGCCGAGTGATAATCCTGTTGGGTGGATTAACTGATTAAAGAACTCACACAATTGCAGGCAGATTGATGGGAGCCTCAAGTGTGTTCAAGAGGGCTTCAATATCAGCTATAGTTTAATGAACATTTTTCTAATTAGTAGGATAAAGAGATCAAAGCCTTCTTATCAAATGTGTATAAGCCCCAACCTGGGAACCTTTACAAATATACTAGATGAAGGAAACTTTTTCAAATATCTCAATTGATGGAAATTATGGTAGTAGGCATGCATGTAAAATATAACGCTTAGTTTAAAACAATGAATTGAGCAAGTATCAGATGGGGAGTTTTCATGAAACTAAAAGAACTGAGTGCCTTCATTGCCTGAGAGCTGGAAAGAATATGACATATTTTTATTTCTATCAGTCAGGATTCTCCAGAGAAAAACAGAACCAATAGGTGGCACACATATACACACACGTACACACACACGCAAGAATTGGCTCACAGGATTGTCAAGAATGAAATCAGGCTGGCTGGAAATTCTGGTGGGAGTCAGTATTGCAGTCTTGAGTTTTCAGGCAATCTGGAGGTTATCCTTCCTCTTTTGGGGACCTCATTCTTTTCTTTTAAGACTTTCAGCTGATTGGATGAAACCACAATATTGAGGGTAATTGGCTTCACTCAAGGTCTACCCTTCATGGCAGCATCTAGTCTGGGATTTGACCAAACAGCTGGGCACTGTATCTTAGGCAAGTTGACACATAAATTAGCCATCACAGTATTATTCATGGAATATTGAGCTGCAGTGATATAATTATTTTATCCAGGTTAGTAATTGTCAGCATTTATTGTAATGCTTAGAGGACATTTTATATTTTGGGTTTACTACTGGGCAACATAGTTTATGAAGCCCATTTCCAGGGGAGCAAGTCAAGAGATGAGTTGATTGAGAGAGTGAATATTTAGGAGTACTTGTCACTTATAGAATAGCTGGAGAAACTGCGATGCTCCTTAGGAAGGATAAGACTGAGTTAAGTTCTATTAGTCAGAACTCTTTTGGTTGGAAATGATTCATACTGACAAGAGAAAAGGGAAATTGATTGACTTACGTAACTAAAAAAAAAAATAAAGGTAGACTTGACATCAGGCTCAAATGATATCCAAATATCAAGTCACGTCTTCTGATCTTTTTCTTCTATCTCTTGGCTTTGACTTATTTGGTTTTATTTTCAGGAAAATACCTCTGCATGAGGTGATGCCTGAAATTCTGAGCTTGGGTCATTCTAAAACTTTAGTAGGGACTAATAAGAAGAGAGATTCTCTTGCTGAAGGGCTTCATAAAAACAACCAGAATTTTCACATTAAAGGATGACTCACCATAATCAAGTGGGATTTATCCCTGGGATGCAAGGATGGTTCAACATATGCAAATCAATACATATAATACATTACATTAACAGAATGAATGACAAAAACCATATTATCATCTTAGCAGATGTTGAAAAACATTTGATAACATACAACTTTTTGTGATAATCCTCATCAAATTAGGTATAGAAGGAATGTATTGCAACACAATAAAGACTCTATGTCACAAGCTCACATCTAACATTACCCTCAATAGTGAAGAGTCTCACCACTTCTATTCAGCATAGTACTGAAAGGCCTAGACACAGTAATAAGAAAAGAGCAAAAAAAGGGAATCTAAATCAGAAAGAAGAAGTTAAATTGTCTCTGTTTGTGGATGACATGATGTTATGTATCAAAAGCCCTAAAAATGCTGCCAAAAACTGTTAGAACTAATAAACAAATTCAGTAAAATTGCAGGGCACAAAAATCAATATATAAAAATCTGTAGTATTTCCATATACTAACAATGAACTACCCCCCAAAGAACCTAGGAAAACAATACCACTTACAGTAGCATAAACATATTTAGCAGTAAATTTAACCAAGGGCATCAAAGATCTATACTCTGAAAACTCTAAAACTCTAATAAAACATTAACAAAATAAATTTAAAAAGACACAAATGAATGGAAAGATAACCATGTGTTCATGGTTTGGAAGAAGTGATATTGTTAAAATGTCCAAACCACTCAAAGCAATCAACAGATTCAATGCAATCCCAACAAGATTACGTGAAGTTTTTCACAGTAATAGAAAAAAACAGTTATTAAATTTGTATGGAAGCACAAAAGACCATGAATAGATAATGAAATCTTGAGGAAATAGAACAAAGCTGGAAGCATTCCAATTCCCTGATTTCAAAATCTACTAGAAAGCTATTGTAATAAAGACAGTGTGGTACTGGCACAAAACAGACATATGGACCAATGGAACACAACTGCTTAGAAGTAAATCCACACATTTGCGGTTAAATGATCTTTGACAAAAATACTAGGAATACACAATAAGGATGTGATAGTTTCTTTGACAAATAGTGTTGAGAAAACTGGATATCCATATATAAAAGAATGAAATTCGGCACATCTTCCCCACATACAAAAATCAACTCAAAACAAATTAAAGAATGACTTATGTGTGAGGCTAAAAACTATAAAACTACTAGAAGAAAACATAGGGAAAAACCTTCCTGGCATTGGTCTGGGCAGTGAATTCTTGGATATGACCCCAACAAAAGTAAAAATTGGCTGGGCATGGTAGCTCACACCTGTAATCCCAGAACTTTGGGAGGCTGAGGTGGGTAGATCACAATGTCAAGAAATTCAGACCATCCTGGCCAACATAATGAAACCCCATTTGTAACAAAAATACAAAAATTAGCTGGGTGTGATGGCGGGCACCTGTATTCCCAGCTACTTGGGAGGCTGAGGCAGGAGAATCACTTGAACCCAGGCGGTGGAGGTTGCAGTGAGCTGAGATTGCGCCACTGCACTCCAGCCTGGCAACAGAGAGAGATTTTGTCTCAAAAAAAAAAAAGAAAAAGTAAAAATGAACTTATGGGATGGCACCAAACTAAAAAGCTTCTGCACGACAAAGAAATCCACAGAATGAAGAAATGACATACAGAATGGGAGAAAATACTTGCAAAGTATATATGATAACGAGTCAATATCCAAAACATGTAAAAAACTCAAATGCATAACCTGATTAAAAAATGGGCAAAGGACCTGAATAGATATTTCTCAAAAGAAGACATACAAATGGCTGACACATATATGAAAAAAATGCTCAACATCACCAATCATCAGGGAAATGCAAATTAAAACCACAGTGATATATAATCGCAAAGTTGTTAGAATGGCATTTATTAAAAACAAAACAAACAAAACGAAAGACAACAAGTATTGCCAAGGATATGGAGGAAAAGAAACCCTTGTATACTGTTCATGAGAATATAAATTAGTACAGCCATTATGGAAAACAATATGGAGTTTCCTAAAAAATATTACAAATAAAACTATCATATGATCCAGCACTTCTGCTTTTGGATATATATCCAAAAGAAGTGAAATGAGTATCTTAAGAGATGAGATACCTTTAATCCTGTGTTCATTGTAGCATACTTCACAATAGCTGAGATATGGAATCAACCTAAGTGTCTTTAAATGGATGGATGGGCTCTCTGCTCCTGTTCGACAGACAGCTGCATCTTGTCTCCCATCGCCAGCCACATCCCTGAGACACCATGGGGAAGGTGAAGGTCGGAGTCAACGGATTTGGTCATATCGGGCGCCTGGTCACCAGAGCTGCTTTTAACTCTGGTAAAGTGGATGTCGTCGCCATCAATGATCCCTTCATTGACCTCAACTACATGGTCTACATGTTCCACTATGATTCCACCCATGGCAAATTCCATGGCACTGTCAAGGCTGAGAATGGGAAGCTTGTCATCAATGGAAATCCCATCACCATCTTCCAGGAGCGAGATCCCTCCAAAATCAAGTGGGGCGATGCTGGCGCTGAGTATGTGGTGGAGTCTACTGGTGTCTTCACCACCATGGAGAAGGCTGGGGCTCACTTGCAGGGGGGAGCCAAAAGGGTCATCATATCTGCCCCCTCTGCTGATGCCCCCATGTTCGTGATGGGCGTGAACCATGAGAAGTATGACCCCTGGACCACCAGCCCCAGCGAGAGCACGAGAGGAAAAGAGGCCCTCACTCCTGGGGAGTCCCTGCCACACTGAGTCCCTCACCACACTGAATTGCCCCTCCTCACAGTTTCCATGCAGACCCCTTGAAGAAGGAGGGGCCTAGGGAGCCCCACCTTGTCATGTACCATCAATAAAGTCACCTGTGCTCAGCCAAAAAAAAAAAAATAATAAATGGATGGATGGATAAAGAAAATGTGGTGCCACACACACACACACACACACAAATACAAATCAGTCTTTAAAAGAAGGAAATCATGTCATGTCATTTGCAACAATATAGATGATCCTGGTTGACATTTTGCTAGGTGAAGTAAGCCAAGTTTGGAAAGATGAATACTGCATTTGTATGTAAAAATGTAAAAAGTCAGATTCAGAAGCAGAGTAGACTGGTGGTTACCACGGTCTGGGTTGGATTGGGGGTGGTGGGAAGAGGTACTGGGGGACTATTGTTCAAGGGCTCAGAGTTTCACTTAGGAGGAATAAGTCCTAGAGATCTGTTGTGCAGCGTGGTAGCTACAGTTAATAACATTGTATTGTATACTTGAAAATTGCTGAAAGAGTAGGCTTTAAATGTTCTAGCCACAAAATAAAAAATAAGCATGTGAGGGGATCAGTGTGTTAATTAGCTTGAGTCAATCATTCTGCAGTGTTTACATATATCAGAACATCATGTTATACTCATGTATATACATGAAATATATATAACTTGTATTTGTCAATTAAAGAACAACATCTAATTGATTTAGCTTTCCTCAGATGCCCAGTTATAAAATAAGTGTTGGGATAGGAAATTTATATGTATTTCTTGGCAGGCCTGTATTACATAGCCATTCCAGTCACATGAACCCTCAGTCCCTGCAAACTACCACATGGATTGAAGTGAGAAAGATGTGATGCTAAAGGAAGATTCAATATCGTTACCAGCAGGGGAATGAACGGGGTCTGGCTAGGGAAAAATGGCATTATTCACTACAAAGGACTGGGTATCTATTTTCAAACATTTGTGGTGCTGTAGTTTATGGGAAAAAGTGTGGATTAAATGCTATTGTGTATGGAAATGTGTGGATTAATAATTGAGTATCAAAGTTATAACTAAAGGCATTAATTTCATTGGACTTTATGATTACATTTTTTCCTGTTTATTTATAAAAGAGAAAGGTATATATTGCTAAATGATAACTGGATAGCAATCTGAAATCAGAAGAAAATTAAGATTGACTAAAGATAAATCTTTACAATTAAATTCGTAAAACTAATCAGGATTAGGATTTTTCTTGGTCCCCCAAAGGAAAGAACTGGCATCAATGGGAAGAAGTTAAGGGGACACAGATTTAGTCTGTACCCAAGGAATAATATTCTGAGGTATGTGGTATAAGGTAACCAGTGTCTTGTGCTAGAAAAATTTAAGGAGAAACTTGATGGATATTATAGTGGTTTACTCCTGTTTTGAACTCAAGAATTGACTAGATACATTAGACAATTCCTTCTGTTTCTGCGACTTCTCATTCTGTTCTGCCCACATACATGTGTGCAAGGCATGCACACTCCTTCGTGTTTGTTAGATCCCCTGAGAGGGAAGTTTAATCCAGTTGCCTGATAACAGTATTATTTCATGTCAATTGTTTTTGAATTGTTACTTTTGTTCTTGCTGACTCGTCTCCACATTTTTCAGTTCTTGTTACTATAGCCTTACCCAAGACACAAGTAGCCTCACATGTGGCATGTGAATTAGTGTTGATTAGGAGAAATGGAGTGGAAAGATACATGGGTGGACTTCACTTTCTGTCTATGTACAGGTGACTTCCGCAAATAAATAGAATCTTCAATTTCCATGTTTTTATTTTAGATCTGGTACCAAACACTGAGAGAATGTAGACTATAAGGAAGAAATAACCCTAAAGGGAAGCCCTCAAAGATAATTCCACCATCCGTAACACTAGGCGCTTCCTGGCATTATGACTAATAAAACTCAGCTGAAAACATGTTCTAAATATTTTTATGCCCAAAAAATAGAAAATTGTAATAAAATAATGGCTGTTATTTTAAACCATGATTATAAAATGCCCCCAGGACAAAAATGCCTAATTATGAAATAAAACAACTTTTGTATCCCTCAGGCAATGTTTTCCAACCATTGCTGTCTCCACAGTAGTCACTATAATGAGTCCAATTCCCCTGAAGAAATGAAAAGTGTAGGGGATTTCATTTATGGCTGTGTCTTGGATTAGGACCAAATGGACTATTAAAATGTTAGTATGAAGTAAGTGTAACAGTATCGTGGGTCAGAGGAAAACTTCTATCAGCAATTAGCTAATACTGTCTTTGAGTCATGATATTCCCATGTTGGCCTTTCAAGCAGGTGAGTGGAGAGTTGTGAATTCTAGAAGTTGGATGACTTTGGGTGAAAGTTTATTCCCAGTACAAGTTAGCTGTGCCATCTCTCCACGCCTCAGCTTTCGCAGCTCACAAATGGCGTTAACAATGTCTATGCGTATTTATAAACATACAGGCTTAAAAAAAATCTAAGAGGCAAGAATTGGAGGGAAACCTTCAAGATTTCTTCTGTGTTTCTCCTTGAAGAATATTACTTACAGTACTATGGTATTAGAGGGGGCAAATACTCTAGAATTATAAACTCCATATCAGGACAAATCTTTTAAATTTTGCTACCTGAAGTTTATTCGTACTGAATTCTTTCTAAAGATGCTTAGTTAGAATTATTTTGTGCATAATTTGTTAAAATACATTGTATCATTCTTTCTAAAGTCAGGCAGTGCAGTCCCACGTTTTAAAAATGAGTTGGTTATTTTCTAGCTCCCAGAGATCATTGCTGTTTTCTCAACAGAGATGTGTGGGTTTCCTTCAGTTGACTTTGGATCTGTGATTACGTCTTCCTTTTCTTGATTTGTTCTCAGAATGGTAGTTGAATACAGCCTATGTGTCAGTTGAGGTCCTGGAGGGAAACTGGGTCATTTGAACAGAATTTCACAAGGGGACAATTTACAACAGTGTGTTCAGATGGTAGAGAAATGACATGGAACCATCCAGAATAATTGAAAGGAGGAGTTCCCAGAGTTTCGAGAGTGACTCCAATGGAGAGGGTTGCTTGACAAAAGCTTTGACCTTCAGTCTAGGGACAGAGCCAGCCTGTGGTGACACTGCAGAGAGATTGCTGGATGAATGAATACTGACCTCCATCTTTTCCTCTCTCTGATTTCCTGTCTACTCTAATGAGCTCTTGTCACTGGAGAACTCAACTGGCAGCCAGAGTGGAGGAAGCGTGCCAATGTGGAAATCCATACAGGTCAGCTTCCCAAGTACCCAGTGGGGAAGAGTGCACAGTGAATTTGGATGGGGCTAGCTGAAAAGGTCCAGAGCTGTCTATAGAAACATCCACATTTTCAAAAGCAGAAATGGGATAATAGGCTGCTACCATATTTGACTAGGTTTGAAATGAAACCTCAGAGGTGGCTGTAGGAAAGTTTCATTATCCTAGAGTAAAATCATTATCCTAGTGTTATCCTAGAGTAAAACACACATTTAGACTTCTGGTCAAGGATGTAGCCTGAGCGTATCAAGCCAAAGCTTGTGCAGCAAGCCCTCCACAAGATCCCATCCCTGGTCTTCCTGCTTGTGTCCTTCTGGTTCTTCTTTTCATCTTCTGCAACATGATAGAAATTTGTCTGGATTATTAGAAAGATTTTTAATAGAAAGATTTTAAAGATAATGTGTCTTATACTGGATCAGTCATCAAAATTGGCTCAACCAGTTTTCAGAAGACTGTGGAAAGGATAAGGGAATATTAGACATTGAGACCGCTGTAGGTGACAGCTCAGAATATGAGGCGATTTAGAAGTTACCTACAGCAAGAAGGCATATCCAGGGAGATTTCCCCCATCTTTCCCCACCCATTAGCAAATGCTATGAAAGTGTAACATTTTTAAGAGGTTAACACTGAGTTCAGAAAACCAATGATCTTATTCTTTTCTTTTTCTCTTTAAAATTAGGTAAATTACTTTTTAGAAGGATTTTCTCTACTTCTTAAATATTGGCTTTACTCAAAAAGGGTAATAATTTTAATAATCATCTTCCTTCTTTCCCTTCCTTCCTTCCTTCCTCCCTCCCTCCCTCCCTCCCCCCCTCCCTCCCTCCCTCCCTCCCTCCCTCCCTCCCTCCCTCCCTCCTTCCTTCCTTCCTTCCTTCCTTCCTTCCTTCCTTCCTTCCTTCCTTCCCTCCCTCCCTCCCTCCCTCCTTCCTCCTCCCCATCCATCCCTCCTTCTTCCCCCTTTCCTCCTCCCCTCCTCCTCCCCCCTCTTCCTTCTTTCTTCTTTCTTATTCTTTCTTCTTCCTTCTTCTTCTTCTTTCTTCTTTCCTCCTCCTCCTCCCTCCCTCCCTCCGTTGCCCAGGTTGGAGTGCAGTGGCTCGATCTCAGCTCACTGTGACCTCCACCTCCTGGGTTCAAGCGATTCTAATGCCTCAGCCTCCTGAGTAGGGGAGATTACAGGCTTGCACCACCACACCCGGCTAATTTTTGTATTTTTAGTAGAGACAGGGTTTCACCATGTTGGCCAGGTTGGTCTCAAACTCCTGACCTCAAGTGATGTGCCCGTCTCAGCCTCCCAAAGTGCCGGGATTATAGACATGAGCCACCATGCCCAGTGCAATAATCATTTTATAATTATTATCTGATTATATTAACTACTATATCACTTATGTTAATTTTACAAGTGACAAATATCTTCAAATAAAATAGCTACTTTAAGGGGTCTCCTTAAACACAAAGCTATATCCATTATTGCTGTCTTCAAAATTTTTATTTCCTCTCTCTCACTTATCATAAATCTCAAATCTGGAGGAGATGGTGTTGATTCACCCATGGTTTCAAAGCTCTCACAATTTACTCTTGAATCACAGATACGTCTTAAGAATAGATAAAATCATACCTGTTAAAGTATTCTGAGCCTTGATGGAGAAGAGTTATATGAATTCAAGGTGGCATTGTGAACCAACGGAGCCATTACTCTTCAATCACTAGTACAGGCAGGGCATAGGAAGATCCTTGGGAGGGTATCGGCTTTCAAAACCTGCAGTTCATTTTACAAATAACCAAGAAAATGAGCACTGTCTGAACTGTAAGGTAGATGCCTGCAGGTATGAGAGATATC